GATTAATGGATTATATTTAGTAGTTACCTGAAGGTTGTTAGCCATACATGAAAGCATCTTCTCCCATCCAGTCTCGGAAGCATATGTGATGAGAAATTCACCATACACTTCCCACATATCATCTACGGATAGGCCTGCAAGTTTCCCTTTGTAAGTCAAAAAGGGTCCGGAAAATCTGCAGCAAAGAATTTTTAGCAACTTTCTTGCAGTGAAGGTTCCAATAGCTTCAAATCTTTCAATCAAGAGGCATACGCTATAAATATGCCTTTTGAAATAATCCTCTTAATCTCACAGGTTTGCTTTTGTAATTTAAGTTTTCCGCTGTTGGCTTATGTCAGCTTAGTGGCTAAATTTGATGTCCAACCTAAAACTGCAGCGGCTGTGCGGAATATTCGCATCGTCTCAGTGTCGTCATAATATGTTTGCACCTCAAACTCGCTGCCGTCGTGGAACCCAGCTTTTCGCCTGTAACCCGCTTGTTAATTGATAGCAACCAAACCTCAAAAAATTAAAATCCTTTTGAATTCTCACAAGATTTGCTGCCATATCTCCATTCCATACCGCCGGATAATGAGAGTACTGATACAAACGTGAGTCCAACCAATCTAAAATTGAGAGAATCGACAAGGAATTCAGAAACTGCAAAGTCTCACCATTTTAGGGTATTTGCGAGATTCACTTGGCGTTCATGATGGCACTGACAAGAAGGCGACTGGCAAGTAATGATAGAACGCCACGCACATTTATGAATATTCAACCATGAAGACCTTGCCCACATCAACGCGGTCTTGCGTCCATATTGCTCACGACAACTACTGAAAATGAAAACTATTACGAAATTATTAAAGACTGTTTATTTATATCTTGCGACAGCTCTAGAACTAAAATATTAATGGACGGGCTTAGTCATTTTCGCAAGCCTATATTCAATAAATTTTCCGCAAAAATGTAGCCGTAAGCAGGAGCTGCAACTCTTTATTTTATAATCTATCAAATCATTTTTTG